AACCCGATAAGGTTTGTTAAGTTATTTTTGGTTTATAAAAACGACAAAAGTCAATACGACAATGAACATCATTGTTCAGTTTGAATATTCTAATTTAGTTTTCGGTTTTGTTAGTAGAACGGTCAACAATATCTAAAATGGTCAGTTCCCGTCCGTTGAAAGAAAATATTGATGCGATATATATCGCTTCGTTCGAAAATGTTTGGCGTGAAATATCGGATAGGCTGTTCATATGTCAAGAAGTTCAAGGCAACCATTTCGAGCATCTTCTGAACTGACCTCAAGCTTATTACCTCATATTATGTAGTTAAATGTCTATGTATTCAGGCAATTATTGAAAGTTCCGCCATTTTGTAGTAGTTAAAGTAGTAGTTAAAGATATTGAATTATATTCTAGGGTTGTGAAACATTTGTCAGGAGCTTCATAAAGATGTTTCACAAGACCTCCCTTTCCATTTATTTTTTTCCCTGACGCCATCTTAAAAGTTTCATCTGTCAATTTCACTTCAAAATAAAGTATTCATGCATCAATTTCATTATCCCAAATTTCAATTCTTTGAGTTGGCCCGTTCAAAAAATAAAAGGGAGGGGGGAACATTAAAGAAATGCACTGTATTTGCGTTGTTAGTGAATTATCAGGGTGGAATAGAAGCTTTCCATAACATAGTGTTTCAGATTGTGCAAGGTAAGAGTGAAATAAATAAACTTTCATTCATTTCATTACCATTTGCAGTTTATTAGAGTAGTATAATGTGGTATTTTCTCCAAATTTGATGAAATCGATTTGTTTTTCAGATAGTTTCGATTCTTTATAGAGGGTAAAATCTTATAATAGACCGATAATGAAATAGTTCCATCTGTGGAAACTTAGTTCACGCTGGAAATTTATCAGTTGGTGATTCAAAAATGTTTTTATAATTATGTGACGACATAATTTCTTAGTTGGTTCGCACAATTACTATCGTGCCCTTGAACAATAAATTTTGTGAAAAAAATTATGGATTATCTAACACGAAATATAAAGTTTGTAGTGATCAAATTGTAATTTGTTTGTTTCATTATTTGAAGCAATTTCGTCACGACTATTATTTCCGTACTTATTGTTTTTGTTCTCAAACGTATTCTACAAGGTCAGATTTGACTGAATATAATTTCAGTAGTTTCATTTTATCGTGATAGTTGGACTAATTTTCAAGTTTTCATTTCGAACAGATTTCTTGTTTTTCTTATCAAAAAAAAAGAAATGAAACATTTTTGAACAACCCTGTAAAGCAGCGGGTAGGAGTAAGTGATATATGCATGGAGTAATAAATTTTCAATACATACAAGAAAATGAAATCAGTCTAGCAGTAGATAGTTTTTGGAACTTTCCAAACAAAAATGTTATTTGACGAGTATATCATTTTGAGAACTGATTCACTGTGTTGAAAAACAATGCCAAATATATTAGGGCGTGACCTTTTTTTTTTTCGTTCAATTTTTATTTATTTTGTGAGATTTACTAATTTATTTTCTAGTTTTGTAAAGAGCAGGGTAAACGGAGAATAAAACATCTGAGAATGAAGTTGATGTTTTGTCGACTATATCGTAAACTTGTATGATTGGAATCACCCATACTTTGTAGAGTAATCGTGACTCTAAAAGAATAACAAGGTTATTGAAGTATGTAAACATATTAACTTTGACAAAGGTTGAGAAATAATTTTATGAAACTGATGATTTTTTAATCAAATACACTTTTTATTATAATATGAAACTATAATTTTGTGAAGATCAAAAATTATTAAGGTTTTATCTTTATTCTTCAACTTGTTGAAAAGCAATTTGAGGCATCGATAAAACCTGTGGTTGGAAAACTAGCCCGTGAATTTTACAGTTTTTGAGTTTATTCACCGTATTTGTCGAGTACATTAAATCATCATATATCATTTGTTGCATTGACGCAATTAATGGGTTAGATATTATCCCTTTTTATAATCTATCGATACTGGAATGCGTTAATTATTGAGATGAGCACCGGTTACATAAAATTATTTGTCCTTCATGTTTAATCTGAAAAACCATAATCGACATTGTTACTTTCGATTCATCAGATATTTGAATCCCGTAGTATATCAAGCTTTGTAGTTACGTATTTTTTCGATATAACGTATATTTTATAAAAGTAGTTCATGCTAGGTGTTTCGTGATTTAGGCTTGGTTTTGGCTTCTTGTTTGTTAATTTTTTGTGTATAGTTCTTAGAATGAAACATGACTGTTTTCAATACAAATTGTGGTTGAAGGGAAGTACAATTCATATGGCATTGAGACAGTATTTGAAGATTAATTGGTCGGCAATTTTGAAAAAGGGAAACGCTTTTTTAGAATGATGTGTTAGCCTTTCAAATCTATAAAACAAATTATGCATTTTCAATTGGCAGGAAATGTTTCACTCTTTTAGGTTGGCAGTTGTGCTCATTGGATCATTCTCTCATTAGAGACTGGGATTACCTTTCTTTTCATTCATTTGAGTATACGACTTGCATGTTAAATAACCGACATTACAAATTGATTCAACTGGACGGTCAGAGAGTATTGTGGACGAGGCCAAGACAACTTATGATCAGGACTACAGCCCTTACTAATACAAATTCAGAAATTCACTCAAATTGTTATAGATTCAATGTACACACAGCTATTTGAATTTTTACATACCGTCACAGAGTTTTAAAATCTCAAAAGTACTTCTTCGAGTGTTTACAAGAGAATATTATACTATCTGAACTTGAGTATGTGAAAACGAAAATAAACGAATGGTTTGAGCCTTCAAACTTGAAGAAATGGTCCTACTTATCATGTCGCACCCGTATAATATATATTAATTATACAAGACGACGATAAAGAAATGCTTTATCGTGACCGCATAGCTCGTGGACTAACTTTCAAGTTTATTAAGAATTTTATCGTCGAGTATTATAATCTATTTTCTATAGCACACGTTTTGCAGGAAAACTTGAAAAAAAAATCTTCATGAATGCTTAGCCAATTCAAAAATTGTTTCAATGATTTTGGTAAAATCTGATGTTGAAGCTATTGAGATGATCGTATCATTTCGAACAATTTTATTGGGTTCATATGACAGTGTTTTTTAACCATTCGAAATATCAAGTCTGTTATCAAAGGACGCAGAAAAGCAGAAAGGTATATTGATTACAAAACTGTACGAACAATCCTTTATTACATTCAGTAATTAATATAAACCTAGTTTCAAAAAATGTATTCATTAGAATAAATAAGATCAAAAAATGATCATTAAAAACATCAAATATATCCCCGTTCATAATGTCGGTCCACAAAGACCTCTAGATACCAATTTTGAATGAAATCACAATAATATCAAACCTCAATTGTAATTATAAATGTTCATGATTTCTAATCGAAAATTCTTTATATCGGACCTCACAAACCGTACCGCTTGTTTATCAAATCTGAGAATAAATCACAAATTTCCTCATCTAATTATATGAAGCAAAGTTCATTATTTTTGAAATTAACATTTATCATTGTTATGAATTAGTTCATTTGAAATTATTTAATTTTAACCCAGTAAAGCCATACATAAATAAAAATCTAGTAGATTTCCTGTAGAAACTATTTGAACAGAATACATTTTCACCTGAAATGATTTATTTTATAAATATATTATGTCCCTTCGATTATCAACTAAACCAACCGCCACTGTTTTATGGTCCAACTTACTTCCCGTAAACAAACAAAGTTATGATGCCTTCAATGTAAGGATGGAAAAGGCCAGTCTATTGTCTTTTGTTACTCTGAGGTACAAACTAGGGGTATATTGAACAAAAATGTTACAGACCGAATTGGGAGAATCACGACGTGAAACCAATATTTAGACCAACAAAAACCATGAAAGAAAGTCTAAGGTCACCCAAGGACCCCAGAGAACCTTTAACAACACCCGGGGTATACCGGATTCTTTGTAGCTGCAGGTCGCTCTATATTGGAACCTCGAAAATAAGTATTGGTACATGTCTCCATGAATACAAAAAAAAGTTTTCGGCTCGGACTGTAGTCGAATATGCTCTCAACAAAGAAGGCACTCACATTATCTCATTTGAAGATAAAGTATACTCAATAAAACTCAAAATTGCTTTCAAAGAGTATATAGAGAGGCAGTAGAAATGAAAAAACACAGGAATAATTTCGATAGAAAAGGAGAGGCAGTGAACATTAATAAAATATGGCTACCTGTCCTGGTACAAAAACAAAGTTAGGTAATCCAATTAAGAGAAACCAGAGTCAACAATGGGAACAACAACACGAGCCCCGACTCAGGCACTGCCACCGTTACCACATCGCTTTTGATAATGTTCTACCGCAGTATTAGACGAAACGTCGGGCATAAAACCCTGCAGACCACGGCAAAAAAACGGAAAATAGCTTTCACATGGTTAGTGTTATAAATTTCCATCAAGTAACAGACGAGTGTATTCATAATGTGAGATACCATGTTCGTAGTCAAAAAAAGTTACGTTGTCCCATATAATACAAAATCAAATCTAATGGTGCCGAACCCAAGAGAATGTGATAACTGCGGTAGGATTCTAGTAACATTTTGTGGTATTTAAAAAACAAGAGAAGGAGAGATAAAATTGGAATCAATGGTGGAATATGAAATTTCCACTCCTTTCGTCCGGCCTTGTGAAAGTGACTACCCTGTATATATTTTTGGCGTAATTTCGATTTTTAATTTTGACGTAATTATTCACATTTTCAACTATCGTTAATACACTGAGTATATATAAGCCAATTTATTTTTTATAAATTCTCTTTACTATAGGGATGTTTCAGTAGCAAAAACTTTGAGCTTCTACTAACATTTCAAAAACTAAAAAAAACTATCTGCGATCGACGTCCTGCACTTCCTTTTAACAAATTGAAAACAGTCATGTTTGTGTGGTAGCGCAATGGGTTTGCTAATGTGTTGTGTTGTTGAGCAGCACGAGGGGGGTGTTAACCCCACTGAGTCTATGACCAGGGCCCTCATTAGTGACGACTCTATAGCCCGACAAAGCACCTTAGGCCCCGTGCAATTGGGGTACGTATCATCGACTCATCTCACGATGCCATCCCTTTATTTTCACATACTCGAAGCAAACTATGTTATTTCAGGAAAAACAGAATAGGATAGAATATTGCCCTTAGTAGTTTATCCTCAATGGAAAATTCGAAAGTATGCAATATCACTTTGAATTTATTCAGAAAAGTGGTGTATCAGAACACAAATTCGTTAAACATGGTGTCCCCTAAGTATCGGTACTGGGGCCATTATTATTCATTATTTATGAACTATATTTCTCCCTTCATACAGCCTTATGAATCAATTGGGTTTGGCACCATCAACCATGATTATCCTTTCGGGATATTCGAAAGATTTGCTTCGAGTAAGACAATCATGAATTGCACCTTTCCCTGCTCATCCTCTAACATTGCACGTTGCATCTCAAGAAAAACTCACTACATCCTTGTAGGTCGGGCGGAGGGATGAACTTCGTAAGATTAACAGAACTTGTAGTTATTTTAACAAAGATAATATGTTTGAGATCTGTCCCACGTTGGGAGCCAGGGGTTTTTTAAAGTGTTGTATATTTGCAAAGCTTCTCATTTACTTCATTTATGTTTCTGAGTCAATCTGAGACATCTCAAAAACAATTAACTTCCTACTAACCCAACAGATTAAATTCTCGAACTTTGTTCAGAATACGTTTTGTGTTACTTCTGTCCTTTGTTGGAAATTGAAGTTCATCCCTCGTATAGAAATACAGTCGTCTGGAACCTCATTAATAAGGTGTTGGGCAAATCTAATGATACATGTATAAGCTTAGAATTTTCGATATTATAGTTGTTACAGAAAAAAAATTCAAGTCTCGGCTGTTCTTGTCTATACTTCATATCTAGAAGAAAACTGTAAAATTCTGAATCTGAAACATTTATATTCATTTTTGGTAGTTGTATATTGAACTCATGATAATATCTAAAACATTTAACATAAATAACATTTAACATTGCAAAAAACCAATGTGAGTGTTAAAACACCTCAATAGTCGGATTATTTCCTTCCTTTTCAGAAAAAAAAATACAGGACTCGACTATAAGTGGTCCCATTGTGATTAGAAATTGCATAGAGATCATAAAGAGAAGGAACTATATTGTTCGCTGCATAATTATTCCAGAGGAAATTCGATAGTGACCTTCAATTTGTCTGTTAGAAAAAATCGAATCTCTTCAAACGTATCGCACTAAAATTTTGAGAAACTCATGTTCTGATAGAGATTTTATGTATTTTCTTTTTTCTTTGCACTTTGAAATGAACACGTTGTGTCTCCATCCAGAGTTTCTTTTTTTTGTAAAGGAATCCAAGTGATACTCTCACTTGACCAGTTCAATGAATGTAGTTCATGTGAATGTAGTTCAATGCAGATTTTAATTGACCTACGAAACAGCCCACAAATTTGGAGTCCTTCATCCTTTTAAACGTGTTCCTTAAACGTGTCAACCAGTATTCTCGTGTTGTTTAGGTGTCAACCAGTTTTTCTATCGTCAAGATTAAGTCAATCATCATAGAATTCTGTAACCTGACTGTCAAATCAGTTAGTAACAGTTTCCATGCGCTTTCCATCAAGAAGTTTTGGAAACAGAAGAAAAACTGGTGACGTGTCTGGGCTATATTGTGTTTGATCCAGTAAATCTCAATGAAACTTTTCCAGTTGAGTCTTGCCGCTACTTGAGACCAAGCATTGTCATGGAGCAGAACGACGGCGGTTTTGAATATAGTGCCTAAGTTTTACGAGTCATTACATCTTCACGATGAACTCCAACAAACTGAATAGATAGCTGAGCGCACTTCATAATCGGTGGAATTACTCATTGACAAAAAAGAAGTTTACCATGCACACAACTGACAGTTATGTTCTGGTTCTGACAGTCAGTTTCTAACAGTCAGAAAACAGTTTGTCAACTGGTGTCGCGTAAATCTTTCCAGTCCATAACTGACTCACTGATTTTAAAAAATTCGAAACAGTACAAACTGAAAATCGAAAGAAACCTGTAGAGAACGAAACTCACTCACCGGCCTGACAAAGAGTGACGGAACTTGAAAAATGACCCTCGTATATGTCCAAGTGCCATCTGATAAATCGCTGCGTTCGATGTGGATGAGCTAATGTCAATTTTGTCTTGGAATTCTGTATACATTCTCTTAATGTTATTTTATATAGAGTCATCCAACAGAATTAGGTTAGGTTAGGTTCAAAGTGAGTGGATCTATTCGACCCTCCACCTCAACCCGCAAGGGTTTATTGTGGCTCACACTCGGCCAAATAAACCCAGCTTCTTAACGAAGCCGATTAGTTTTTATGGTGAGTGGTCTTTCAGGTCAGATGGTAAGAGTACGGCTCTGCCGAACTCTAAAGACCTGATTCGGTCCCCAGCGAGGCAGGCACAAAGTATATGCTCTATTAATGAGGTAGTCGGATAGTCAAGTTGCAAGATTCCCGCCTTGATACCCACGACAACCTTCCCATATGAGGGTTTTTGCACGTCAGCTACACCTGACGATGGTTTTGGTGAATCATCACTTGAGCGCAAACGTTTACTAACCTGTTCATGGAGGGTTTGTTCCCCCACCTGAGACAGATTCTGCGTACGCCGCTCAAGAATTTGGTGCAAGGCGGTTTTATAAGGTACCCCGCTCTTGAGGAGACGACTCAGTCGTTTCCTGGGTGCACCACCAAACCTTTTTTTTAAGGTACAGTTGTTGGATCAAGAGTTGGGAAGTTGAGAAGCTCTCGCTCCTGAACTAAATTTACAGGGAGCTCAGTTGTAGTCGTAAACTCGACATCCATCTCCTCTGTAGACTCGCTCCTGAACTAAATTCACAGGGGGGTCAGTTGGAGCCGTAAGCTCGATATCCATCTCTTCTGTAGACTCAGCGTCAGAAAGAATTCTTAAGTTTACTCTGTCCATAAAAGTCCCACGAGTAGCTAGGGAAAGAAGGTCAATCACGGCAGAGCCACGCATTACCGTGACAAGGCGATGCTACGACGAGAGGGCGTCCGGTATCTCGAAGGTTCCGTAGAGACAGCTGATAAGTTCAGTTCACACCTTAGGATTAAGCCATCATTGGGATGCCATTCAGTTAGGGAAGAACAGAACCACAAGTGATTCTGTCATTTCCTTATCCAGCAGGGCTACGTGGAAGCAGGCATCCGATGGCCGGTTTGCTCAACCCCCACATCCCAAGCCAAAGCACTCGCTGAAAACAGCATACACAGTGGTTCAGGCAGTGAAAGATGAACAAGGACATTGGTTCAGTAAAAGATCGACCAATACCTGTACGTTGACTATAGATCGATGGTTACCAACTTCTTTTGGCCTCAGTTGGATGATCTGGACACCAAAGACATGTGGTTTCAACAGGATGACGCTACGTGCCACATAGCTCATGTCTTCATGTCTTCTCACGTGGAGGTGATGTGAACTATCCACCGGTATCATGCGACTTAACCCCGTTAGACTATTTTTTGTTGGTTTTTCCCAAGTCGCAGCTGTATGGGAATGAGCCACAAACCACAGCCGTCCTCAAAGCCAACATAACCCCTGCCATCGGTCAAATTCAGCTTGATATATGCGCGACAGTCATGGAAAATTGGACGTTTCGGATGCGCTCTACCCAGAGAATGAATAGCATAAATAGGTCTTTCAGACTAACAAAAAATTTCAATGCTATATCACAAACACTTTTGTATTATTTAAATTCAAAGATGGGAAGCGCTTAATGAAATATCCTTTAGTTACCTTGGACATTCATGACTAAGCCTTGTGTAAAGCCAGAATACGTAGTAACTCCTCAGCTACGTGGTTATATGTATACTTTATATATCAAATAAAAAAATTCTTTCGATCCACGATCTTTTCAATTTCGCAATTGAGCAATTTGTCGAGCTACTGTTGATTTCGACTCGATGCAGTCGAACATAGCTGATGCCTAATTCAATTTGCTTATCAGATGAGATCCACTTGCAAATATAAGTAGTACTTGTGTGATAATTTATTGTTAGCTAATATTTATTTACTTATATCATTATTACCTACGTACTCTGAAATTATCTAATTCCACGGTAATTTGAACGTGAATGGATCAGTTTACGTAACATTTTTTGATACGAGATCGAACGTAAAAAGTGAAGAAGCCCAGCGGGCTGAAATGGCATTGTTTAAATTTTTTTGATTGTCACAGAATGAGAACGAAGGTTTGCATTGAATCAGATTTGATGTCCAAGGTGAAATTTTCAACTGATTTTGTAATGCAGGTTGCTTTCAAACTTTTTTTTACAAACGTTTCTTCAACTATTTTTTTTTTGGTTAATAATTCGTTAGAGTGATAGATATCACATATGAACTTATTAGAATATAACTTTTGTAAACACTTTCAACTATTTGAGGCAACAAGTAGTAGTAAGCCTTTTAAAATCTTCTCCTCTTTCGACTCTTGAAATCTTTTAGGCTTAACATAGAACAAATGCAACATACTCTTTTATTTCATTAGAATTAACTTTTTCTTCGGTGTTCTCTTCAATATCAGTTGTTTTTTTTAAATCGCTCATCCTTTTAAAATTTGTGACTGTTTAAAATTCATTCGAAAGAAAATAATAATAATCGGCAGATACTTGTAAAAAATTTGTCTGACTCTGAGTATGTCACTGTCAACGTTTCAAGTGTTTTTAGCACTTAATTCCATTTGTTACACAAAATTTCATAGAAATTCTTTGATCCAGTTTTTTCGATAGCAGAAAATCGCCCAACACGCAAAAACTTTTACGTCTCTCACCAACAAACTAAACATGCTAAACAGCTGAAACTGTGAACATATGTTTGAGACGAGTGTACCAACATAAAAAAATTGAAACCTTATTTTTTTAACAGTCCACGTATACACACATTGTTGGTTAGTATACAGTGTAAAAGCCAAATGGAATAAATTCATTATTTCGGTTACTGTATAATCTTTAAAAAATCCAGAAACACGTCAGATAAATTAAAATCATGCGGTTACCGAAATTTGATAAAATACACTCAAAAACTGAAATGTAATGCAAAACGTAATAAAATGTAGAATACGAAAAATAACTATGGATGTTAACGAAGTAGATGTTTGAAATGTTCACCGCGCAACATCCTAATCTCATATAAAACTGTTTCTTAATTATATTTAACATATCAGTCGTAACCTACCTAATCGCAAGCGTTATTCGTTCTTTTAAGTCATTCAAATCTGAAGGTTTACTTTTGTACACATTGCTCTTTACATATCCTCATAAAAAGAAATGTAATGATGAAAGATCAGGTGATCGCGATGGCCATTCAATCGATCCTCGATCGATTGATACCTCGATACAACATTTCCCGACTGAGAAATGTTGTATCGAGGTATTGCCGAACATTAACTTGGTAATGTGGTGGTGCTCCATCCTGCTGAAACCATATCGTCTTCCCTGGAACTTGAAGGTTTCACGGATCAGGATATAAATTTGCTAAACTTGAAATGACATCATTTTGAAGTAGTGCCAAATAATTATCGCCATTCAAGTTGTCCTCAATGAAAAAGGGATCAATGATATGGTTTCCTACAATTCCTGCCCAAGCATTAACCTTTTGAGTGCATTGCATGTGTTCTCTCATTCAGTGAGGATTTTCCGTTAACCAGTAGCGAGTATTTTCCCGTTTAGCATGACCGTTAAGAGACAAAGTACACTCATCAGAAAACATAACGTCTTCTAATTGGATGATATTGTCATCCAACATGTCCATCATTTGCTCACAAAAATAAGTTCTATCAAAATCGTCTTCCATGAGCTCCTGAGTAGGTATCATTTTGTAGGGATGCATTTTATGTTCTTTTAATATGTTAACTATCGATGTATGGCTAACATTGAATGTAGTGGATGCCTTTCTACTCGATGTATGTGGGTTTTCCTCAAACTCAAGCACCACATTTAATTTGAGTTCATCACTCATTGCATTGGCAGCTGCTTTTTTATCTGCCCCAACATGACCAAGATCGCGAAACTGCTTCTCTAATTTGCTTGTTGCTCCTTGAGAAATGGGCAGTAAATTAGGAAATTTAATTGTAAAACTGTTAATTCGTTAATCTAACCATTTGTCAGACTTGAAGTCAACGAACTTTAAATTAAAATACTGAAAACTAATGTTGTAACATACAAAATAAGTTGACTAGGCGTTTTAAACTAACGTTGCCACGGAAATTATTTACAGTTTTTTAAAGGATACCATCTAAAAAAACATTGCTATGGTTTTTGCTTACTTTCTTACCATCGATACCTCAAAATGAAATAAGTTTTGAATATATTGCAATAAGTTTTGAGTGTATTGTATAAAATTTCGGTAACCAAATGATTTTTATTTATTTTATTTTAATTGTTGCAATAAACTGAAAAGCGATAACATTTTTGAATAGATAATGAAGGGACCGTTCAAACGAAATATCACAAGCCTATACTTCCCATTTAAAAAATTTGGGGTTGTACCTGTCATTCGACGGGGGTTGAAGGTAGGGGTAGCATTTTTCCGTTGAAGTATGTCAAATTATAATTTAAATTTGACTTGTTTCGTGATTTTGTTAAAATATGTACTGTAACCGAAATAGTTAATTTATTCCATTTGGTTTTTACACACTGTATAACTGGTCCTTTATGTCGAATTACCTGAAATGACCCAATTATGGAACTTTCATTATTCCATAGTTTACTGATTACATGATATCTTTTTTTTGAAAGACAAGACTTCTGTATTTGTTAGGAAGCATTGTAACATTTTTACAAGACAAGAGCAACCGAGAAAAGAAAATGACCATTGCTTCGATGAGAATATTATTAGAATTTATGATCGAGAGCGGACATATTATCAAAGTTCAAAGTATAATATCGAAAATCATGTTTCACACATTGGACACTTCATAACCGTTTAGTTATCTCACCAGGAACATTTTATTTTTCAATTGTACGAGTTCCCAATCAGAGTTTTTCAAACATTTTGAAAATTAATATTACATTTGCATTTGAGATGAATAATGAGCATCAGGAAAACCTGCAAAATTTTCAATTTCTTCAAATTATCAACTCAGTTATTATTATTATTATTATGATTTCATTTTATATTTTTTCAATTTCAAGATTCGTCTGAACCATTTTTCTACACAAATCAATAGATATTTCTATTATCACATCTCAATATAAAAATAGATTGTGAATAAGATAAAATCTAAAATGTTATCTCTAAGAACGTTCTTTTACTTCCTTTGACTAATTTTCAGTAAGGCCGGATGAGGTTGTCTTTTTTTGGAGATTTGAATATTTCTAAAGTAATTGAATTGAAAATGCATGTAAATATTAAAGCATAAACAATAGAAGAATGAAATTCATCTCTTATGAAAATGGAAAGGAAATGAATTTTGTTGCAAATAGGAAATACAGCATAGTAATTAACAATGGATTGTCTCGAAATTCATTTTTCAATCAATTGAAAACTGTCGTTTCTGATGGGAAAAACAACGGGGCATCTTCATCCATTTTTTCTAACGCATCACCCTCGCATCTCATGGACACCACACTTATTTAATAACACACTGTCTATTTACTTATACTGTGTAACATACCTACTTTTAACAGTTTTCCGGATAAACAGTTTGACCCAGAGGAATACTTCCCATGGTCAGTATTTTTTTATGTTCTAATATGTTTGGCGTCTGCGATGTACAGGGTGATTTACCTTTACGGCGTTCGATTTCAATGGCGGGGCAAAAAACGAATTGAGGGCGTTTTATCAAAATTCAAAAGTTGTGTTTTTTGTATTCAAATCAATTGGCTTTGTATTTTTTTATCATTGCTAGTCGCATTGCCGGTAGTAATACACCTTGTACAGTGTCTAACATAAAGTTCGCACTATTCAGAATGGTTTTTATTGTTCTTTTTTCGGAAATACGCATACATGTGGTTTTTTTGAAAATCAGAAAATGTGAAAATGAAATTGACAGATTTAGAAATTTTGGAAGTTTGCTAGTTATTGAATAAAACAGTATACAGTGCGATCCACTTTATTGCGAGCATATATTTAGCATAGACGTGCAAAACAATGGTTTAAAAAAAAAAATTCAAGCCAAAACTGGAAGATTTTGCCAGAAGTTTTGTCTTCAAAGGAGCAGCAACTGAGTTTCTGCTTTGCATAAGATTACACTTCGCATCTTCTGGAATACTGAAGTTAACTTGTCTGGAGATGTCAATTGAGGAAGCTGTTATAAAACATGTTTATCTTCCTCAGCCGATTGATGAGTATGTAAAAGTTCCAAGGACGTTGATTCACGTGCAGAGAAATTGACAGAATCCGACCTCAAGCATAATTCATTAATAATATTCTCGAATAACCAAGCGGTACTAAAAGCACTTGGTCCTTGTCAAGCAATGTTCAAGTTGGTATTGAACTGCCAACAATACTTTACTGAGTAGTTAGACATAATAAATTGTCTCTGGTCTAGATATGCTGGCTTGGAAGATGCTGACTCCCTAGCGGGGAAGAACGGTGAAATGTGTTTTATTGTACCAGAAGCAGACATTGACATCGCATAGATTTTCAAAATATTCGTCTATTACTGCCCCAGTAGTGAACGAAACGTTTGATACTAGGAGTTCCTTTTGACCATAACCTAATAACTCGGATTTTGTTCTCCCCAATTAATAAAGTATGGATTCTTTCTTTTCACTGTGTTCATTTTGCATATGTTGTTAGCTTGTTCAGCTCATACAGTACCAGCATAAATGCAACGTCATCACCATTTACGATACTGTTAAAATATTGACGAAGCATTGGTATTGCCTTTCTGCTGGGGGATGTGGAAGCTGGTTGTAAATACTCCCAGCTGGTCTAGTCTTACATATTTTAGAGTTGATATTATTAGAAAAGAAAACTGTGTTGATGTTGGAGTTTGATTATGACAACATATTGGCATGAGTTGACCGTTATTGAAACCAATTAATTTTTCTCTTCTGAAATATCAAACTAATATGTGGAGTAAAACCACAGTCAGTGGATTTCATTGTAGATATTTACAAATTTGCCATATACACCATACATCTTTTAGTGTTATGAATATTGTCGATGTCATTTTCATTTTCTAGACCTAGAACATTGAAAGACTCGAACATTTTTTGTTCTGGAAACTGGATAATAGATACCACATATCGCATATTGCAAACTTTATGTCCTGACAAAATATTTTTATAACTATGCAGTTTTGATTTGGCACATTAGTTGTAGATTGTAATAATGTTGTTGCAAGCTCGTGATGCATCTTAGCAAAATGATGTTTAGATAGTGTTTAGATTTTGGCGTTGTTTGTAACTATATTAGTGCTCTGTTAGAATCTGTACAAATTCGTTAGAATGAAATTAGATGTTTTATCGTTCAAATTCCTAAACTAAAATGTCGAAGTACGTTAACATTGTGCTGGCGAGAACAACAGATGCAGCAAATCTATATATTCAACAAATATTCAAATCGTCTTGCAATCGAAATTGTAGTTCACTTCTTTTTTTGTCTTTCTCAGTTATTTTACATTACATGCGGGCATTGACAAATATATAGATTTGTTTTTATTTGACTGTAAATGCTTGCAATTCGTACCTGACCCAACTGATGAACTGAAAAGGAAGCGATGAACAAGTTCACCAATATTTTTTTCTGTAAATAGTTTCGTAGCTGGTGTCATATTGAGGGAACGTATTCCTGCCTTCGAACGGATGCTATGGAGAGCTTGTCGAGGCAACGTATTTTTACGTCAAGCGGAAATAGAGACGCCACTGGAGGATCCTTCCACAGTAAGTACAATACTAATGATTCATCGAAGACAAGGTAAACGTTTTTTCTGTATTGAAAGGTAGTATATGAGACTGGGGCAACGAAAAACATTCGCTATTTATTGAAAGAAAATTCAAATACAAAAATTATTTTTTGTTAATACAATTGGGGGCAATGAAGGAGTCACTTTGGCCCATAAGCCGCTTTCAAAAACTTTGTGTTCTACTAACCAAAGAGTGGAGACTGGTGGGAGAATGTTGAAACTTTTTGGTAAATGCGTTTATTCTGCTCATTCAGTACATTTGTACGGAAAAAAGATATATACATGTTTGTCATATTTTGAAAGATATAACTCGTATCAATTTGTACTTGAAAATAAAGTTCATAATTTCGATTTCAAGAGTTTTCAAAAAATAACAGTTATACTGGTAATTAGGCTGAGGTTTCATTAATGTTACTATAAACATTTAAATTGAATTGGTGCTAAAAAAATAAATTAACGTCAAAATAACTGTATAATTACCTTACATCAGTACGTCAGCGGTTATCAATCTCAAACAGTTCTTATGATCTAAGAATGGTTTTTATATTCAAAAAAAATAAAGGGTATTCAATCTACCTAATTTAAAGTTAACAATGAAATCCACCAATATGGTAGTAGAACCAATATCAGTTTCCATGTATCCAAGACAAACTCAAAGTCAGCATAAAAGATAATAAATTTTAATATACAGTGCATTTCTTTAATGTCCCCTCATTTTATTTTTTGAAGGGGTCAACTCAAAAAATTTTAATTTGAGATTATTAAATTAATGCATGAATACTTTATTTTGAAGTGAAATTGACAGATGAAACTTTCAGGATCGCAACTAGGCGCCATCTGGAAAAAAAGTTCAATGGAAAGGAGAGTCCTGTGACACATCATTTTGAAGCTCCTGACAAATGCTTCACAACCCTAGAATATGAAGTCAATGTCTTCAATTACTACAAAATGGCGGAACTTTTAATAATTGTCTGAATACATTGACATATAACTATATAATATGAGGTAATAAGCTTGAGGTCAGTTCAGAAGATGCTCGAAATGGTTGTCTTGGACTTCTTGACATATAAACAGCCTATCCGATATTTCACAGCGAATATTTTCGAACACAATAACGTCAATATCTCTACAAATATTTATTATTCTCTGAAGTATACCCAATATTGGAGCAGTTTTAGTTTCATATAACTTTTGCTTCAAACAGCCCCATAAAAAAAGTCCAACGGTGTCAAATCTGGGGAGCGGACTGGCCATTCTTCAGGACCTCGACGGCCAATCCAACGACTGGAAAAGTAGTATCCAAATTGTTTCTTACTTGTCTGGAGTACTGTGGTGGTGCTCCATCTTGTTGGAATACAATAAACATATCGAATTCATTAGGATTCACTTCGACGATTTCAGTGATGAGAGGGTCAACAGTAATTTACAACATATTCAAATACAGTTCCCCTATTGAATTTTGATCAATAAATAGAGGTCCTACAATATGGTTTCCCAATATTCCTGCCCAAACGTTAATTTTTTCTGGATATTGGGTATATGTATCCCGGAAAACGCGAGGGTTGGTGTCACTCCAATAACGGCAATTTTGTCTGTGAACATTGCCATTTAAAAGAAATGTACATTCGTCACTAAAACAAATATTGTGGAGATAGGTAGGATACCTTGCAATGGTTTCCGTTGTGATTTCGCAGAATTCTGTTCTTCAGGGCCATTTTCAGGTAATTGGTGTACCATTTTAAAGTCTCCATACAGTAAAAGGAGACACCTCACAAACATTCGCGACGGAATAAATAGACTGTTCTGGATTTACTACCATCTCACCAATTATTTGCACTTGCTGTTTTTCCGGAATGGACGGATGATCTGGTGGCTTTTTGTTATATACACTACCGGTAGTTGTGAATTTGGATACAAGTTCCCTCAAATATTTTCTACAGATAGGACGATTCGGATAACGTTAATTGAAAATGCTTTCGGTCTCGTGAAAGTAACGTGTCGCACCGAAAATGAAAATATCTTCAATTTTTTCTTCCAATGGACGAGAATTGACCATTTTAGAGACTGTTGACGTGGTACCTTTCTACTAGTAAAACCGAAAACTAAATGAGAATATCCTAACTGAACAATGATGTTCATTGTCGTACTGACATTTTTTGTCGTTTTTATAAACAAAAAATAACTTAACAAACTGTATTGGGTTCTTGGAATTGCCATCTGTCAGATAAAAAGGAATATTTCTAGAAATATCGATATTTATGTGTTTGTCTTCAGGAAATTATTAAATGTTCCGCTGTTTTGTAGTAGGTGAAGATATTGACTTCATACTCTAGGGTTGTGAAGTATTCATCGGGAGCTTCAAAACGGTATGTCACAAGACCCCCTTTCCATTTAATTTTTTCCCCAGATGGCGCCATCAGTCGCCATCTTGAAAGTTTCATCTGTCAATTTCACTTCAAAATGAAGTAGTCGTGCATTAAAGAAATGCACTGTATTTTTAATGAACGTTTGTACATTAGGATAACCTAAATGAATAAAATACTACTACTACTACTACTACAAATTAGAGAAATTGAGAAATTTCATTAACTGAAATTGGTCCAGATAATTAATAACTGTGTATTCAACAAATAGAGTCCTACAGAGAAATGTACATGGCCAACTTGCCGAAGAAATGTCCTTGCATTTACCCAACCTATGATATCTCAAATAATCATTGTAAATGGATGACTATGTTCCCATAAACAAAATTGGACTATCAATTTAGATTCCTGGATGGATGAGTTCGGGATAAATGTATGAAATTTGGTTGTTTTTGCATTTTTTTAAGGTTACACCGTTATTATCAAAAGAGGGCTCAGGCAAGCCAATTAACATATGAATAACTTAACTTATTATCAACCTAGAAAGTTGAATAACCGGTATCAGGGCTAGATAATTGAATTAAAGGACTTGTCAAATTACCAACTTTAAAATTTAGATATATAGGGGTAGCATCTCTATTACAAACGGATACACCGTATATAATCTTGAAATAGTAGGATTTCAGACCTCTAACACAGTCATAACACAATGGCTGGAACGTCCGGGGCATAAGAAAAAAAACACTTTATTTTGTTCAAAATTGGCTTCATTAATCAACGTAATCTCCATCAATACCGCGATTTAACTTTTGCCTCAAATAAGGCTTCAGTTTTATCAATAACCTCTTCATTCCACGAAATTTCTCACCGGTGAGCGTCTTTTTGAGGTCACCAAACAGCCAGTAGTCGCTGAGAGCCAAATCTGGCGAATACGGAGGATTTGGGAGCAATTCTAACTTCAATTCATGCAGTTTTGCCATTGTTTTGATTGACTTGTGACACAGTGGTTTGTCTTGATGAAACAATTTTTTTTCTTTGCCGTATGCGGTCGTTTCTTTGCAATTTCGGCCTTCAAACGCTCCTATAACGTTATATAACTTTCACTGTTGATGGTATTTTTATTCTCAAGATAGTCGATGAAGATTACACCACGTACATCCCAAAATACCGAGGCCATAACCTTTCTAGCCGATTGTTGTGCTTTCGAGCGCTTCGGACGAAATTCACAAGTTGCTCACCACTCAGATGATGATCGTTTTGATTCCGGAATTGAGTGATTGATCCATGTTTTATCCATTGTCACATATTGACGCAAAAAACCTGGTTTGTTATATTTAAACAGGGCCAAACACTGCTCAGAATCATCAAGACGTTCAAGTATCAACAAAAAATGTAAGGATGCATTCTCTGGTCAAAAAATAAAGTCACTTTTGTGTATCGAAATAGGTTGAAAATTAAAAAAAAAATATCCTATTGGCCTTTGTAAATTTGTGCTATCCAAACAGTTACGTGGATAGATTCATATATTGAGTGGTAGATGAAGTAGAAAAACAAAGTGGAGCTTCAGTTACGCCACAACTGCTTCGGTCAATGAAAAAGGGGTTACGGAGATCAATATTTGGTCCATCTGAAAATATATGAAAAAGATATGCTGGTCATTTTGTCTTCACGAACTATTCTGTACACAACAAAATTTCACTTGATTTTGATATTTATTATGTTATCAGGGCGACCAAGTGTACAAATCGGTGTTCATAATATTTTTCCAAGGAGATCAGCTGAAAACTAGAGTGAAAAAGATCTGCGAGGGGTTCAGAGCAACGCTTTACCCTTGTCCAGAAGCTCCGGCTGATCGCAGAGAAATGGCCATGGGCGTCATGACAAGAATTGAAGATCTCAATACGGTGAGTAGATCATTTGAAAATTATGACGATGAAATAACCAATTTGAAAAATAGATGAATCACTGTAGAAACGATATTGAATAGCTTATTGACGATTAAATTTGGAAATACTCAAAAAATTATTATGGAATAATAATATATA